GAATAAATGAAAGAGTGGGTTTCAATTTTGCCCCTTTCACTTGAGTGAAATCTGATCTTGAATCAACTTTGGTTCAATCTCCAATTTGTTTCTGAATTTTCCAAACCAATAAACCGGGAACTTCTGATTCTGCCAGAAGTTTTTCCTGAGACCTACATAATAATACATATATTTTTATTTTGTAGACGATGAAATTGTCGTTTTAGATGGCATGCTATACAAAAAAAAATTAAAGTCAAAATTGCTATTTTGGTGAAAACCATCAATTTTAATAAATTATTTTTCTTATTTTTTATTGTTTATAAATTATTTGTGATAGATAATTTAACTATCTATGTTATGTTGTATATGATTTCAATGCAATTTTGAAATTTATATAGAATTTTGGGATAAAAAAAAATTCAAACGTATTTAATTTGAATTCATAATTTTTTTTTGTTTCTCAACACGTTTATAAAACAAAATGGTCCAAATTTAAAAAATAATAAATTTTGGTGCCACCCAAATTATTTTAGATCCTGGATTGATAATGTGAGAGGGGGTTAAGATAGAGACTAAACAGCCAACCCGACAAAGAGGTAAACTGTGTGCTGTCTCTGCCCTGTAAAAAACCACAGACATTTCTCTCCCACTTGTCCGAAATGTCAATACAAACATTATCCCAATGTCTCCTCGACTTTTTATTTTTATTTTTCAGTACAGCAATAAATAACCCAATTTACACATGTGGAGTTCACATGAATAGAACTGTGGTAGAACAGTGTGTAATTTTTTCGCCTAAAGTCAAAACGAATGTGTATTCCTTATTTATAATATTCAAAACTATTTATTTATCTTCAGACCATAGTATTTATTTCATTTTTCTAAAAAAATATAAACATAAAAAAAATCAATAAATTTAAATGGCTAATTAATATTGAGAGATATGATTACATAGAGGATAATATTAATAATTAGGCCGACATGGGGGGAGGTGGAGAGTGACAGGGCTGTGACTGACAGGCATCAAAAATACAAATAAACGGAGTAGTCGACAAGTACCGTCACGAAATCCAGTCCCACGATTTTATTGGGCCATGGCCCCACTTTCCGGAAAAAGAAATTTGATTTATTTTTTATTTACTTTAATCTTAAATATATATATATATATATATATATTATTTAAAAAGTGACATGCTTTTATTTAATTTTTTCATTAAAAGAGGAAATTTGCGAATCTGACATTAAAAGAGTGATACTAATTTCGTGGTCCGACACCGACTAAGGTCTTTTAATCTTAGTGGCTATGAAATGCCTTTTGAATCAAACTTATATCTAAAATTTTTAATCAAACAAATGGATAAACCGAAACAATCACAACATCGTCATATTAATTAGGATTTTTTTTAGTGATAAGACTGCGTAAATATCCGAATTGTGTGATGTATTAGTTGTATGATAACAAATAGAAGATGCTAATCTAGTTTTTATTGGATATTATATATATAATCGATATATAATTTTATGGAAATTAATTTAAACAAAGTGTGTTTTATTTTCGTGGTATTAAGATTAATTTTAATGATAGTTGGTGACCAAGTAAGTTGTAAGGACCACTTGTTCATGCATGTTTCGTTTTCTAGCTTCGGAGAAAAATGATTTTTGATTTTAACAATAAAAAAAAAAGATTTTTGATTATTGTAGCCTCCCTACCAACCAATGGTCCTTTCCCTTCATATCTCCCCTATCATTTCGAAACCTTGTATATATATATATATACGTATATATATAACGGATTTGTTCATAGGTATATAACGTATAATTCCATACACACATATGTTGCATATATATAAGCATGATCTCCGATACTTTGATTCGATATTATATTTCATACTTGCCTTCGCATGTAGAGTTTTAGATGTAAACTCATATATAATATATGTGTGAAATTAATCTCCGATTCCACGAAACTAAGCAATGTACCTTGTATATATAGAATATATGGTTGCGTCGAGTTTATATTTTAGTTTGCATTTTATTATTGTATTAATAATTATAATTTTTTCTAAATTTTGGAATTCATCTAGAAAACTAGATTATATATTTCAATTCATTTAATAAATAATAATAATGTAAAGATAATTATTTTGACAATGTGGACGATATACCAAGTTAGACGACAATATCATTTTAATAAACTCTAAAATCATTAAAAAAAACATGTAATACTTAAATTTCATGCAAATATAGAGCTATAATTTTATCCATAATTTAAAAATAAAAGTCTTCTAGCTAGTTAGGATCACAACGGAATATCGATCGTAGTTCCTAAGCCAGAACCGTCTAATAGCAAATGCAAACGGATCTAAGCGATCCAACTCGATCTTCTCCAACCTATACGTATACGTACGTTCAAATTGAATTTGATATATATATATATATATATATATATATATATGATGCTTTTTATAGACAAAAAGAATTAATAAAGGAGACATTAAGTGTTGAAAATGACTCCAACTGTTTCCATTGAAAAACAGAAACCATGTCTGTGTCCCAAACCCAATTGAACCCTTTCTCCAGAACATGATTTCATCCGTTAATTAACGGTTAAAGTTATCGACTCAGTTGGTGACTAAAATAATAATTATTTTAATGTATAAAAAATCTTTTATTTTATTTTATTTTTTCCTCTTATTGTCTTTTTCTCCATAATTCCGTCACTTGAAAACTTTAAAAACGATGTAGTTACAGTTTTATGTCGCTAGGTTTATAACAAAGCCGTCCCAGATAATTTAGAGGCCTCTACAAAATATTTTTTATTTTTTATTTTTTATTTTTATAAAAATATTAAATAAAAAATTAAATATATTAATTAATAAATCTAATGTTAAAAAGGTCATAAATATAATCCAAAAATTATAAATATTAATGATAATAATTACGAAACTGTATGTTGAATATAATTTTAATTATTTATTATATATTATATTAATAAATATAATTACAAATTAGTGATTAAAAAAAATTAAATGTGGGTCCTATAAAATTGTGGAGTCCTATCCACTTGCACTTGCCTTTATAAG